AAGCCCAATTTATGAAGTTAATAGAGGAGAGTTGCCAGGCTAGGCTGAGGGTGAATGGGGTGGAGGGCACAGAGCTCCTCACCCACTTGTCTTCCCATTGCTCTTTGGAAACCTTAGGTGTCGGGCAGGGTGTGGGCACACCTTGAACATTTAACTAAATGGCATCATTATGGGTGTAAACTGCCCAGGCAGTTTTCACGTGGGTCTGAAGACCCTGGCCACTGGGATGGGAATTCTTCCTCATCTTGGTTTAAAGAGCCCGGAGTCCACAGTGAGAGCAGACCGTGGTGGACCTGGTGGCTGCCTCTTAGCTCTGTGCTGGCCTGTGATGGGGGTCTCATGGTCCATAAAGAAATGAAGAAAATAAAGTCATTTGGTGAGATTTCCATAAAGTTAGGCTTATTCAAACATTTCCTTTTGGCTCTGAAATGTCTTTTCTTTCATGAAATTATGGTGGTAATGATTGGCAGTTTGTGTGTGTGTGTGTGTGTGTGTGTGTGTGTGTGTGTGTGTCTTAAAGTCTTAGCAACCTAAATAAAAGGTTAGCAACTTTATGTTACTCCCCCAAATTTGTTCCAAAATTTTACTGATTTGTGAAATCCTGAAGTCTTAGAGATGGCTGTTTTGGTCCATTGTGGAGGCTTGGCCAGGACTTCCCTGAAACAATCCCAGAAAAATAGCAAGTTCCATTCTTATGCTGGATGAGTTTGGCAAACTCTGTCCTTTGATGAAACTGCAGCGGTTCTCCCAAGGCTGATAGTGATGGAGCCTCTCCTGGGGGCTGAGGTCACCTTCTCATTAAGACTCTTGCCTTCTGTTTCCACCTACCTCTACTGCCCTTAATTGGGGGATACTGCTTCTTTGGACCAGCCTGGGGCAAACATGGCACCAGACCCTTCTCTTGATGTCCCACAACCTAACTGAGGCTAGGAAGGGACATGCAAACAGGATTTGGCTAAAGGCTTGCGATTTGCTTGAAGGAAATGAGTGCAAAGATAACACAAGGCTAGACAGTGGGGTTTACAAACTCCACAGCTCACAGTCTCCACCCCATCCTAGCTGCCTGTGCCCTTCTACGTGGTGATGGTAGTGGCAACCAGCTGGAGACCATTAGGGAGCTAGAGCTGAGCCAAGAGCCTGCAGCCCTCCACACAGGGAGAGCCTCTCTCCTGCTCACCTCTGAGGACTAGGCTGGGATTTATAAAGGGAGATATGAACCTCCTTATATGGATGCTTTAGGAATAAAAGGCAGGACCTATCAAAGAACTGGAAACTTCCTCCTTTACTCCAATATAAGCCTCTCAGAACACAGGGCTTTTTGATTTCTGTCATTTAACCCCAAATCCCCATTACAGCAGTAGATGAAAATGACTTGGGCTCAGAAGACTCCAATTGTTAAAAATGTGTTTAGCATCAGATTAGGTACTTGGCCCTGTATAAGGACACTTGGACAGCAATAACACTTTTTTTCTGGAGTCTTTCTATTTCCCTTAAATAAAGAAGAATTTTAAGCGGCGCAGTCACGTTTTCTTATTTGCTTCGGGAAATGTGTTTCGTCCAAACCATAGCTAACTCCTTTTTTCCTCCTTGTTCCTGCAATTTAAAAATCCTGGCATATTTTTCTACTTTGACCATGTACTTGTATTTGTAAAATAATTGCACGGTCTTACTGTTCTCTTCGTCCTCACAATAGCCATAAGAGGTGGGCATTGCTCTTCTTGTTTCAGTGATGAGGATTCTGAGTCTTGGGGGAGCTAAGTGACTTGCTTAAGGTCATGCTGCTAGTAAGGGGCAGAACCGACGTCTGTCTGGCCCAGGTCCCAGCCTCTCTCTGTACAGCCAGATCCCAACTATCACTAGGGAACGCATGGTTTGTTTATTTGGTTTTCTTCTCTGCAAAACTACCCAACTGGCCCTTAAGGGATTTGAACCCTGAGATCTTGGTGCCATGAGCACTGAGCACCAATTAGAGAAAAAACTGACAGCAGCAATAACATAACAATGACAACAAATCACCAAGAAAGAACCCTTTGAGTTTCCCTCCTGACCAGACTGGAGAGTTCTTTGTCAGGGTCAAGTTCAGAAAAGTGGTAGTGGTCTGGGTAGAAAATGAGCTGCTCCTTTCACCTCTCTGGGATGCTCTGTGGCCCTGGCACTAACCTGAGCATGGCACCAGCCTGGTAACCAGGACGAGGCTCCCAGTGAGCTCGCAGCTCAGCCACCTCACTTTCCCAGGTGCTTTCTTGGAAGTCCTTGGAGGGAGTGTGCTTTCTTTTTTTATTTTATTATTTTTTTGAGACTGAGTCTTGCTCTATCATCCAGGCTGGAGTGCAATGGCATGATCTTGGCTCACTGCAACCTCCATCTCCCAAGTTCAAGCAATTCTAGTGACTCAGCCTCCCCTGTAGCTGAGATTGCAGGCATGTGCCACTAAGCCCAGCTAATCTTTGTATTTTTTGATGGGGTTTCACTCTGTTGGTCAGACTGGTCTCGAACTTCTGACCTCAGCTGATCCACCCACCTTGGCCTTCCAAAGTGCTGGGATAATAGGCATGAACCACCATGCCAGGCCAGTCCTAGTTTGCCTTCTGCCAGGAAAGTGTAAGGAGTTTGCTCATGGCCTGGCCCTGAGGGGTGACAGAACAATGGTGGAGATGGAAGAGGAAGAGAACCCCAGGACCTTATCCCACTTGGCCAGGATTCCAGTGGGGAGGCTAGGCATAGGAACTACTGGGGGAAGGGATGCCCCCAAGGCCTGAGCAGAGGCCTCCAGGCTGAGCTCCCACTGGGGTCTGGGCTGGTTATCGGGTGGCACAGAACACAGGCTGTGGATCAGGCTGCCCTGAGTTGGCATCCTGGTGTCCCGATTTAGCTCTTGTGTAACCTTGGGCAGGACTGAGCCTCTCTCAGCTTTGATGTCTGCAATGCACTTATACTCACCATAGTCCAGACGCTGTCATATACACAGTGGTTCATAGACATTGTGACAATGACAGAGTATTTACAACAGAGGCTGCCTTTTAGAACAGCCTGCCCAATAATAAACATAAAGAGAATGTGCTCAAATGTGTGAGACAATTCAAACAGTTAAAATGTCAAAGGACGTGAGCGGAGGATTTTCACAAGTGGTAAATAAATACCTGAAATACTTCAACCTCAAAAATAATTTTTAAAGGAGAGGGGGAGGTGAAAGGAACATTGAAGTACCACTTTATGCTTCTTCAAAGCGAGCAAAATATTAAAAATTAATAATATGCTATGCTGGCAAGGTTGTGGTCTAAGTGGTTCGTTTATACATTTGGATGGAAGCCTTTCAGAAAGCAATACACCAGTGTGTGCCTACAGACATAAATGTTTGTAACCTTTGATACAGTCATTCTAGCCCCAGGAATTCATTTTGAAGTTTTTGTTTTGTTTGGCTTTTTTGAGACAGAGTCTCACTCTGTTGCCCAGGCTGGAGTGCAGTGGCATGATCTCGGCCACTGCATCTTCCACTTCCTAGGTTCAAACGATTCTCAGCCTCCCAAGTAGCTGGGAATACAGGCATGCACTACCACACCCGGCTAATTTTTGTATTTTTAGCAGTGGTGAAGTTTCACCATGTTGACCAGGCTGATCTCAAACTCCTGTATTAAAGTGACCTGCCTGTCTGTCACAGCCTCCCAAAGTATTCGGATTACAGGCATGGGCCACCTCACCCAGCCTCATTCTAAAGTTTTAATCCTTTCAAAATGTTTCCTATAACATTTTTTCAAACATAAAAAATAGAATAGTACAACAAATCCCTCTGTACTAAAGGAATATTGACGGAAGACAGAGTCATATAGGTAAGGATGTATACATTTGAAACTTAGGCACAGGTCAGGTGCAATGGCTTACACCTGTAAGTCCAGCACTTTGGGAGGCCAAGGTGAATGGATCACCTGAGGCCAGGAGTTTGAGACCAGCCTGGCCAACATGGTGAAACATGTTTTTCCAGACAGCCTGGAAAAACCCTGTCTCTACTAAAAATACAAACAAATTAGCCAGGAGTGGTGGTAGGCTCCTGTAATCCCAGCTACTTGGGAGGCTGAGGCAGGAGAATCGCTTGAACCCAGGAGGTGGAGGCTGCAGTGAGCTGAGATCGTGCCATTGCACTCCAGCCTGGGTAACAAGAGCAAAAGTCCATCTCAAAAACAAAAATAAACAAAAAACTTTTTAAAAAAATCTAAATATGTAACAGATGAATATCTGAGTAAGTTGTGATTCATCTTCAGATGGACTATCGTGTAGCGATGAACATGACAGATATGAAAAGTTGAATTGTGCAACGAGTGGTCTAATGTTCAGTGAAAAACCAGAATTTAAAATTGTATCTCTAGGTGATGACAATAGTGTAAAATCATATACATGAGCACAGGTTAAAAAAATATGCAAAAGTATTTGCTGTGTTGGGATGGGAGATGATGAAGTCATATTTTCTCCTTGAATATTGTTGTTATATTATTCTTACAATAAAAATAAATGAGAGGGAGATTCTAGGCTCTGCCCTGAATCTGTGAAGGTATGTTTGTCAGATGCTATTCTACAGGTCATTCGTATTAAGGGATATATTAAGAAGTGGTAGGCGGTGGGGCCAGGATTTGGTTTTAGGGCAGAGGCTGGTCCATAGTGGGTTCTCAAAGACTCTTGGAATGTCAGAGCTACGTGAGGACCGTCTAACACCCCCATTTTGCAGTCAAGGGTCCTGAGGCCCAGAGAGGCTAAGTGACTTGCCTGGAATAACCCAGCAAAAGCCTGGCAGTTCCACATAGAGGTTGGTATTTCTACGAAACTAGCCGGCGGACCTTAGATCAGTCCTTCTGCCTCGGGGCACCTTCATGTATGGGAGTCAGCCACACATGGGTGAGAAGGCAGCCAGAGAGCATTCCTCTTGTGCCAAGGCAGGGTGGGTGGCTGGATGAGGGGTGGCACACACTATTCCCGGGATGCAAACTCCTGGGCTGGGGTTGTCTCCACAGGACTCTGAGTAACCTCAGCCAGACCCGCCCTTCCCATCACCACCTGGGGTTGTCCCGCAGTGTCCGACTTCACCCGACTGCCACAGCCAATGGCCAGCTCTCTTCCAACGCCCTGCCCTTGGGACCAGGCCTGGAGCAGAGGGATGGCACCCATCAGGCGCTCCCTCCGGAGCACCCCTCATCCCCCTGGGGTAAGGATGCCCTGCCGTGGGTCCTAGAAGAGCAGGACCTCTAGATCTCTCTTCTCCCACCTCAGCTTTCCCCTCCCCTCTCACAGAGCAGCTGCGTTGTCACCTTGCCCCTCATTCTTTCAACCAATCAACAAACACTTGCTGAGCACCTGCTTTGTCCTGGGCTCCAGGGGTCCCAAATCAGCAGACCTGGACTTTGCCCCTGTTGCAACCCTTAGACCTGGACTGCTCTGTTTCTGCCCAATCTGCCATCCCCTCCTGCCTTTGCTTCCCTCATCTCCCACCATGAACAACTCCTGGGTCCGGGTCCTTCTACCTTATCCTTCCTGCAAACCCAAACCCTCCTGGATCAACCCAACCAGCTGTTTCCTCAGCACCTACAGCTGCGCCTCTGCTTCCCAGAGCAGAAAACAGAATCTCTGTGGATTCACGCCATGACTCATTCTCTGTTGTTTCCTGACAACCCCTCCCTATGTGGAGGACATTCTCTCCCTGCGTTTCTCAAAGCAGCTACTCCAGGTCTCCCCTCCCCTCCCCTCCTTTCCTGAGGCCCCATCCATCAGCCCACAGACATGCTCCCACCTCCCAGAGAGCTCCCCAACTTCCTGTCCATCTGCCACACTCACCCCCACCACTTCCGTGTCTACGTCTGTGCCTGAGCTCACCTCCTTCCTTTTTTTCCATTTTAAAAATTGAAGTGGAATTCACATAAAATTAACCATTTTAAAGGCTACACTTTAGTGGCTCTTAGTATATTCATAATTTTATGCAACCATTGCCACCGTTTGGTTCCACAACGTTTTTATCACTCCACGTAGAGACCTTGTACCCATTAAAGCAGGAGTCACTCCTTATCTCCGCCTTCTATCCCTGGCAACCACTCACTGACTTCCGGTCTCTATAGATTTGCATGTCCTCAACATTTCACTTGAATGGAGGCATACAGTGTGCCATCTTTTGTGTCTGTCTTCTTTTACTTAGCATTACATTTTCCCTCCCCTCCCCTCCCCTCCCCTTCCCTCCTCTTCTCTGTTCTTCTCTTTTCTGCAGAGTCTTGCTCTGTTGCCCAGGCTGGAGTGTGGTGGCATGATCACAGCTCACTGCAGCCTCAAACTCCTGAGCTCAAGTGATCCTTCTACCTCAGGCTCCGGAGTAGCTGGGACTACAGGCATGCACCACTATGCCTGGCTAATTTTTAAATTTTTTGTAGAGATGGGGTCTTGCCACGTTGCTCTGGCTGGTCTCAAACTCCTGGCCTCAAGTGATCCTCCTGACTCAGCCTCCCAAAGTACTGGGATTGCAGGCATGAGTCCCCGTGCCTGGCTTAGCATAACGTTTTCGAGGTTTATCCTTGTGGCAGTGTGTGTCTGTGCTTCATTCCTTTTCATGGTTGATGATTCCTTTCATGCCATCTTGAGGGGGAGGTGTCTCTCTTGTCTAAGGCACACCGTGGCACCCTTTCTCATTTCCTCTGGAACGCTGGCATCACTTGTCCCCCCACTTCTGTATCTTCACCCTGTCCCTCCCTCTCAGCTCTTTCCCTTCAGCATGCACAATTGCTTCCAGCTCTCTCATTCACACACACACACACACACACACATACACACACACACACACACGCACGCACAGACACACACTCTTTCTCATTTCTCCGCTTCCTTCTGGCTCCCTCTCCATCTCTTCCCTTTACAGTCCAGCTTCTCAAACCCATGGTCAACACGTATTTTTCAACTCCCCCCTTCCCACTTCTCCCTCACCCCTCTGCTTCTGGCTTCCGTCCCCGGGCTCCCCATACTGAATTAATACCCCAATTCCATTGCCACCACCCTTAGTAAATGAAGTGACCTCAGTTTGCACTGCTGCCATGACCTCCCAAGTGGTCACCCTGCCTCCAGACGCCCCTGCACATCACAGCCAGGATGATGTCTTACTGAAAAGTCACCACCAAATAAAGTGCCTGATCTTTGTCCTGGTAATCAGGTCCCCTACTAGCCTGACTCTAATCCTTCTTTCAGGCTTTATCTTCTTCTCTTCTCTTAGAGAACTCTCCTCTCTGGCAAGCCTGAGCCGCATTCCATTCCCTGACTTCGGGTTCCAAGTCCAACTGCATCACTTGCTAGCTGTGTCACTTGGGCACCTAAACTTCTCTGGGCCTCAGTTTTCTTAGCTGTAAAATGGACATAGTAGGTTGGATATATGAAAAATGCCAACACTCAGCCATAGGAACCTACAAAAATGGCAATTTCTAATGGTTCAACCTAACATACTACTATTCAAGAGGGTTGATGTGCGTGAAGTGTAAGCTTGGTGGCTGGCACATCTGCAAGCTTCTCAGTCTCAAAGGTATCACCCTGCCCCTACAATGGGACACTGCAAACTCTCTGGGGATGAATGCAGCCCGAGTCCCATGGGCCTTTCTAACCAGCCTCTGGAAGTCATAGCTGTACCTCTCAGCCCTGCCCCCTGGACCCAAGCCCTCTCTCTGCAGGGCTGAACCTCACGGAGAAAATTAAAAAGATCAAGATCGTCTTCACTCCCACCATCTGCAAGCAGACCTGTGCCCACGGACACTGTGCCAACAGCTGCGAGAGGGGCGACACCACCACCCTGTACAGCCAGGGCGGCCATGGGCACGACCCCAAGTCTGGCTTCCGCATCTGTAAGTGCCTTTCCCTCTCAGATGGTTCCCAGCTGGCCCTGGAGGGTGAATGGCCGGAGAGCCAGGCCTGTCTTGGACTGGAGCCTGCTGCTCCCAAAATGTGGCTCCTCAAATTGTCCGAAATCACATGCGGAGCTGAATCCTCACTTGGCAGCCTAGCCGTGTGACTCTCAGAGTCACATAACCTCTCTGAGTCCAAGTTTCCTCAACAGAGAAGAAACGGAGTTCATGATAATACCACTGCCCCATCTCCCAGGTTATTGTGGGGTGCAGGGAAAGGCCTAAATGAGCTTTTTGGGAAGGCAGGAGCTGGTTACTATCTATCCTTCTTCACTCTACATAAATGCAGTGGAAAGTCCCTGCATTTCAGGGACCTCTGGGCTACAGAAGCCATCTAGGATCAGGGTTCTGGTGCCTGTTTCTCTGTGGTGGTCACGAGCAGCAGAGTGGGTGCTGTTGTTCTTCCACCGCTGGTTACCTTGACGTTGCAGATTTCTGCCAGATCCCCTGCCTGAACGGAGGCCGCTGCATCGGCAGGGACGAGTGCTGGTGCCCCACCAACTCCACCGGGAAGTTCTGCCACCTGCCTGTCCCGCAGCCAGACAGGGAGCCTCCAGGGAGGGGCTCCCGCCCCAGAGCCCTGCTGGAAGCCCCCTTGAAGCAGTCCACCTTCACACTGCCGCTCTCCAACCAGCTGGGTGAGTGCCAGCACCGCCGGGCCAGCGGGACCCTGGGAGGAGTGCCAGTTGGGTGGAGGCTGTCACAGTTGCTATGCAAGGACAGGAGACTGCCTGCAGTCCTTCCTTTACTATCAACCCCCCATCGTTCTTCTGGCCCTCAGCGCTGAGTTTCATTCCCTAAACTCGGCCCTCTCCCATTAAAATTCATCCACTTGTTTTTGCCCTCTCCCTATGCTGGGTACCTTGGGGAAGGCAAAACAGTGTAAGGGCAGGGAGCTGTCCTCAAGGAACCCATGGGCTTGGGTAATACAGGGAGAATGGATGGGAAATAGAATATCAGCATAAAACATTTCATTTCCCCTGCCTTCCATTATTAGGTGCCAAAAAAACTACAGAATGCTTTAGGAGATCAGGGGACGGAGAGGCTCCTACGCCCAGAGTGCATGGGACAGCTGCATGGAGGGGATGGACCGCAGTTAGGCCTTAAACAATGGGCAGCGTCTGGTTAAGGAGGGACTGGCATGAGCAAAGCCACGGAGGTGGCCCCTGCAGGAGCCAGGGGGCTGAAACTCCAGGGTTGGCCAGGGTCATGGGGGAGGTGGAATCAGAAAGGTAGCTGGGAACGTGCTGATGAGGCTCCTTCGGTGACGGAGTTTGCGCTTCATCCCGTCCCACAAGGGATCATTCTGGGGCTCTAACTTGGGAGCAAAGAAATGGAGAGTTTTGGGGTGACATGCAGCCAGTAGCCGGCCTGGCCCAGGGCTGGTGGAGACCCTTCAGAGGGTTGGAAAATGAGAGCGGGGCCCTGCTTCCCTGGCTCTGACCCCAGCCCCTGTGCCCAGCCTCCATGAACCCTTCCCTGGTGAAGGTGCACATTCACCACCCGCCCGAGGCTTCAGTGCAGATCCACCAGGTGGCTCGGGTGCGGGGCGGGGCAGAGGAGGCCCTAGAGGAGAACAGCGTGGAGACCAGACCCCCGCCCCGGCTGCCTGCCAGCCCTGGCCACAGCCTCTGGGACAGCAACAGCATCCCTGTGCGGTCTGGAGAGCCCACTCGGCCACGACCCCCAGCAGCACCCAGGCCTCGAGGACTGCTGGGCCGGTGTTACCTGAACACTGTGAACGGACAGGTGAGGACACAGCTCTGGCCTCAGCCCTGGATGCTTCCAGGACAGCAAATGTCCCCAATATGCCCTTTCCCTCCTCTCTGTCCTCTTTGTTCTTATGGAATGTGAGTGTCTGCAGAGTCTCCCATTTCCCAGATGGGAAAACCCAAGGCATGAAATTGCCCATGTATGGAGAAGCTGGGCCTCCTTCCTGGGCTCCACTTGGTGCCTGTCAATACCAGGCACACAGACAAGGACCCAAGGAAGTTCTCCTCTGGAGGAGCTGTCACCAGCATCCTCAGGTGAAGGCAGCCTAGAGTTTTGATTCTATGACCCCTGGCACATGGACCAGTGGGCTGTTAGGATCTGGCCAGGAGCTTTGTAACCAGTTGAGACCACAGTTGGGGTCACAGAGGTGTGAAATTAGTAAATGGAGGTTAACCCCAAAGCCCTGGTGGTACAAAGATGAGAGATACCCCATTCCCCCCAGAGCCATCCTCAGCTCATAATGGGAAATCGGGGAAGCTTCTCTGAGGCCAGCCACCCAAGAATAGGGGTTAGACCAGACCCAGTATGGTTTTTCTTGGCATTGCCAGGAAACCCCTTAGTTTCCAGAAACCCCTTCTGAGGTTAGGGAACTGGAGGAGGTGGGACAGGCAAGGGGCAAATACCCTGAATTCTCAGATCATCCCTGGCCTCTCAGCTTGGGGTGTCCCTGAGCCTGGGGCTCTGCTCACAAGGAAGGCCCACACTGTGGGTGACCCTGGGGTTCCCTGGAGGTCAACAGAGGAAGCTATTCCTTTAGGACCTTTGTCTGTGGCTGGGGCCATGGAGGGTGGTGGTTTGCAGCCCTATACATCTCGTGTCTAGGGATATCCCATTCACATACAGGTTCAGGTCTGCGAAAGTGCACAGCAGTCCTCTCTGCCTCCTTCTGGGATATGGGCTGACCCCCTTCTCCCCTTCTTTGGCTGGGGACATCCTCAGGCAGAATGTGGGGAGTGAGTTCTGTGTCCTACGCTTTCCTGGGACATCTGTGCACAGCCTGGGAGGGAACAGGGGGTGGTCAGGTGTTCACAGGTGGCCATGGCCTCTCTTCCAGTGCGCCAACCCTCTGCTGGAGCTGACTACCCAAGAGGACTGCTGTGGCAGTGTGGGAGCCTTCTGGGGAGTGACTTTGTGTGCCCCATGCCCACCCAGACCAGGTGAGTGCTGGGGGCCAAGGTCAAGAGTTGTGGGAGAAGCCCTCCCAGGGCCTGGCCTCTGCTGACAGGGTTTTCCCTCCAGGGTATCAGAGTCCAGGCCAGTAGAACAGGCTGGTAAACTGCAGACTTCCCAGACCCGCATTGAAGGCGTTTCTGGCTGGCACTGAGGCTCCTGGCAGCCCTCTGCTGGTACAGCCTGGCCTGCCTGCTTCATCTGACTGCCTGCAAGGGCCTGCTCCCTCTTGCAGAGATTCTTGCTCAGATTTGAGGGATTTCATTCAGTGCTCCTCTGCATACCCCTGCCCAGATGCCAGGGCCCCAGAGTTCTTGATTCGGTGACCCAGTGTTTTCCTTATTCTCTCCCTGGTGGGGCCCCAGGCCTCCTCTTTACCTCCTTAGTTCCTGTTCTAGCCTCCCTCTCTTTGAATTAGGGTTGAACATCTATCCTAGACGTCCTCATCCTTGGGATATGGGAACCATAGTTCCTTGCCCTCTTTTGGATGATGGGAAAAATCTAACATGTGTTCATTCATTCATTCCTCCATTCATTCAAAAAATACTCACTGGGTGCCTTGTATGTGCCAAGGCCTGAGATTTCAGGAGTGAGCGAATGCCTGTTCATGATGCTCTCCCGAGTCTTAGTCATACAGTTGGGAGGAGGGTGACCGGATGCCTGTGCCTGAGTGTGGCTTCTGCTCACTTGGTCTGTCTTCTCCCCTCAGGCCTCTTCCTGGGCCTGGGCTTGAGCCTGGTGTGTATTTTTTTGCCTGTCAGCAGTCAGCTTGGTCCATCAGCTTTGTCTTGTTGTTGTTTTGTTTCTTGTTTTTTTTTTCTACTTCAGTTTTCTGTGGAAGGTCCATCAGCTTTGTCAGGGGACTGGACAGGAGCCCAAAGGTGGGAGGGGCACGGCTGTTCCTCACATCAGACTCAGCTGTGAAGCAGTGACTATATTTTCCAAACTAAAAATAAGTGTAGATGGTTTCACAGTGTGATAGAACTTTTGGCAAAGTAGCAAAGGGTAGCATTCACCTCCCAGGCTCAAATGCCTAACACATGTAGGTAACCAGTCCCAGCTCTTCCTGATAACCTCTCTCTGTGTCAGTGTCCTGATCTGTAAAATGAAGATAGTAACAGTGCCAGCCTTGTAGGCTGCTGTAGAGATTAAATGAAATGATGCACGTGCCTAGCATTAGGTCAATAAACTGGCTATTACTGTCATTATCATTATTGTTATTAGAAAGTATCCCTCAAGAAAGGGAAAATAGAAGGGACCCACTGCCCTACCAGCAGATGTGCATCAAGCTGACCAGGTCTCCCCTGTGGACTGGAGATGTTTTTGCCACTTTTCTTCTTTCATTGTTTTCTTTTCTCTTTCCCATCAGGCGTTGAACCCTTGAAACTTCTGTATCCCACATTCTAATCAGTCGACAAATATTTACATTGACCAAGCCCCCATGTGAAGTGGCCATAGTGTGTAGGCCCAGGACAGACAGTGGAGAAGGCAGTAAAAACCACACTTTCCTCTCCAAGCTTACAATTTAGTGAGGAGTCATAGATGGCTGGTGGGCATCAGAAATGAAGAGGTTTGAGCAGTGTCTGGTCAAGTGCTGAGTGCTGGGCAAACACAGGCAGTGGAACCCAGGCCCCTCATAGGTCCAGTAGCACCTTTGTGCAAATTAGAAAAACCTGCCCTTCCATTCATTCAGAATCATCTTCGTAAATATGCCAATCTAGGATGCCAATGATTACCTTAGAGGTGGTGCTTTTGTGCAGTGCACAACCTGCACATCTTTACGCTATGGGATGGGGGCCCTAGCTAAAGCCAGTGGATCAGGGAAAGCTTCTCAGAGGAGATGACATCCAGAATGAGATTTGAAGAATAATTAGGGGTAGGACAAGTTAAGGAGCGGGGAAGAGTTTAACAACTCAAGGAAATTGCATATGCAGGTAAGACCAAGAGAGTGAGCAACATTTTCTGGAGCACAGTGTGGCTCTTGCTGAACCCTGCTCGGCCCTGGCCCTCCTGTAGAAAGGCAGGCATGTCAAAAGGGTTAGGGGCCAGGGCTTCCAAGTCCCTGGTCTGGGCACGTTCTGATTCCCAACAGCTGGCTCATTCCGACAAGTGGGTGGGGGTCTCTCCCCCTTTACTCCATCAGCCCTCTGAGGAGCATGCAGTACCCGCTGCACTGACGGAGGTGCTGACCTGCCCTGGGACCTCCTGACCCAGTGGGGCTGTCCTATGAAGGAGCTGGCTTTTCTAGGTTGTGGGAGCAGTGAGGTTTCATCCAAGTGGCAATTCAGGAGCAGCCTTAGAATTTTCTTCTCCAGCTCAGTGTGGTGGTTCACGCCTGTAATTCCAGTACTTTGGGAGGCCGAGGTGAGTGGATCATGAGGCCACAAGTTTAAGACCAGCCTGGCCAAGATGGTGAAACCCCGGCTCTACTGAAAAATACAAAAATTAGCCGGGCATCGTGGCGCACACCTGTAGTCCCAGCTACTCAGGAGGCTGAGGCAAGTGAACCCGGGAGGTGGAGGTTGCAGTGAGCCTAGACCATGCCACTGCTCTCCAGCCTAGGCAACAGAGCAAGACTCTGTCTCAAAAAAATAAATAAACAAATAAAATAAGTTTCTCCTCCTTGTCTCGGGGCTCAGAAACTGTCACAGTGTTGCCTCTGGAGTCTGAGAAATAATGAAGGGGAAGGGCAGGCTGAGCTGCCAACAGCCAGGGTGTAAAGGAGTGCAGTGTGCACTGAGGAACAGGCTTTCAGAAGGGCCTTCCCAAGAACCTCGCTTCATTGTTGGGATCCTCCTCACAGCTGAAGTCTACGCCCCTCCTGGAGCCTGGGCAAGGCTTCAGGACTAAGGGGTGCTCGATTAGGCCACCAAGCATGATCCTGAGCTCTTGAGATGTAGCCCACTAGGTGGGGTGTCAGCAGTCAGGGCGCTACAGGGTCCTGGGGTCAGTATCTCCTCTCTAATTCACTAAGCCAATCTGACAGTGATGCTAGTGAAAATGAAATTAGAGCCACTCTGGATTCTTCATTTATACGTCACATCTGCCGCTCATAGGATTGGAGCAGAGAGTGGGAACACAGGGCCTGCCTGTCCTGAGCTCTAGAACCCATCAGGGAGGCAGAGATGCAGGCTGTAGGTCCAGGCCAGGGCCGGCTGCTGCCAGTGGAGGATTCTGGGCGTGTTCCCCTCAATCAGGGCTGACAGGCACAACAACCACATCCCCAGATCTTGGAAGCACTTCTGAGAGTGGGGGAGCGCTCCCCTGGAAGGGTGGGGAGAAGAAAAGGCCAGAGTCTATACCGAAGCGGCTACCTGCCCGCCCACTTGCTCCACTCCTGGTCCTACCTGTGTGCCAGCCTCGAGAGCTCAGCCCACCTGATGCCCAAGGACCATGTTCCAAATACAGCTGATGAGCTCAGTTCAGACAGGGCTGGAGCCCAGTGGCGGTGGGCATGGGGGCAGAGCTCTGTGGATCAGGTGGGTGCAGAACACCAATCATACCCCTCCCCCAACACACCCAACGCTCAGCCCTTGCCCTCACTCTGCCCAGTCCCAGATGGTGGCCTCCCCACTGTGTTCAGAACATCTCAGCACACTGGGCACCAGGGCACAGTCCCTGGAATGTCAAGCATCCCAGCACACTGAGCAAGAAATAACAAAGACAGGGGCAACATAAACACTGAAAATACATGAAAGTGCAGCTGGGCATTGTATAGAGAAGGGACAAGACGTTGGGGAGCCTTGTTTGCGTTGACAGAGTGCCAGGCACCTTGCTTCATGCCTGAGCCTGGGGCTGGGGTGGGCACGTTTCTTTAAGTGGGCATGACAAGGAAGCTTCTGTACAAGAAGCAGAGGAGGAAAAGACAAACTGCCAGGGCAGGTTGGGGGAAGGTTGGCGAGACAGGTGGGACTTCTGGGTCCTAGATCATCCCTGGCCCCAGTGGCTTTGCCTCTCTGAGCCCCTATTTCTCCTCTGATAAAATAGGATTCTGCTTCTTGGGGGAAGCCTTTGTCATCTGCAATGAGGTGTTCTAGCGAATCAGGTGGCAATGGGAGTGATAGGGTGAGCAGCCTGGAAGTGGCTTCATGGTTTCCCTTCAGTCACCTTTTGGCTTTGAGGCTCTGTGCTGGGCTGTCAAAGAAGTTCCCAGCAGAATCCTGCTATTCCTGACGTGGAAAAGGACTGCCTTAAAGTTTTAGTTGCAAGGCATAGGCAAATCCCTTTTTTTTCCAGAATGTCACAGAGCTTGTCCATGGAGAGCTGGCCCATGAGTCAGTCTCGACCAGCCCACAGTTCCCCTCTGCTCCTTTCACTCAGAGTCCTAGAGGCCATGTGTACCTAGCTGAGCTCCCAGGACTTAGCCTAAGCCATGTCTTCCTGACCCCTTGTGATTTATCAAAGGGTCCCAGCTCACAGCCTCTTCAATCCTCCTGCCAGAGTCTGGAGAACACACAGCTCTCAAAAGCCACTTTGATTGAGGCCACATTTTTGAGTTTTCATCTGAGAAAGGCAGACATCTGGGTTGACTGGAAAGTTGGCCGCTGCCCCATCTGGCTTGGCGCTGGCTGTGTCAACCCCAAGGCCCCTTTGCTGGGACAGGCAGGCTGGCACATGGCTTGGGGCCTGCAATGGTGGGCTCCAGCTGTTGGCTGCGAGATTGTCTTGCCATTCGCCTGGGGTGGGATGAGTTCACCTCAAACCAGGGCCCCCGGTATCTCCAGGGAGAGTGGATTCTCTTGCTCTGCCTTTTCAAGGAATTCTGCACCTTTCTCTCTCAAACCAAGAATAGCCTCCAGTTCCTGAACGTTCACACTGCACTGGGCCCTTCACCTGTTCTATCCCACTGATTTTTTACAACCACCTGCAAGCCCAGGATTTTTAACCCCATTTGACAGATGAGGCAAATGGAGCTCCGAGAAGGCTGGGGAACTTGTCCAAGATCACACAACTAGGGCAAGCAGAGCCGAGAATCTAGCCACAGTGT